TTCAACTCACTGTCACCTCAAAGTCGAACAAAACATGAATAAAAATGCTGTGACACTGACCTGTTCTGAGGTGGAGAGGTGATGCAATAATTGAAAATGTATATTAATATATCTGCAGTCAAGGTTGAATTATTGGCCCTCAATGACGTATCTATTATGTTTTGCCCTCGGTGGTAGAACAAGCTGCTTTGGAATCTAAATGTGTGAGCCATCATTGTGAGTCTGTTTACTTTGAGTCACGCTGGACTCACACAGGAGCCGTGTGCGCTGCGCTACAGCTGCGCAGCGGCTGCCGGAGCTTTGAGCGGCCATTGTAGTCAATGCTTGTGCTCACACCAGAAGCGCAGCTTCCCAGAAGCGGCCCTCCGCACTGCTGTGCGGAGAATCGGCAGCCGGTCTTTGACAGAAGACGCGTCACATTTAAAACAGACAAGAAAGTAGCCTTTTTAACCACGGTAGAAGCACAAAAATCAAGGACAACATATCGAATCAACTACATCTAAACAATTCAGCAAAATCAGGCAGGCAAAACGCTCTTATTCTGAAATGTTTAATGTAGGAAATTCAGCCCTGCAGGGAACTGGGGGGAAACTGTTCACAGAGAGCTGTGATCGGTAGCAGAAGCACACAAAATGACAAATAAAAAACAAGTTAACAAGGTGCAGCAAGCTAAGGCCAACACGCCTCCTGTGTGAGTCTGGCCGCATATCCTTATCCTTATATCACTTCACCCTAATCAAATACAGCAAGGCCTCTGTTGCAGCAATACCTGCTATGTCCAGCCTTAATTTTTTATATCTTTTAGTTGTGGATATCATTTCTGAGCTTGACAGTCACACATGTACGTATCTCTGCTACCATCTTCACTAACATCCTAGTGTCACTGATTGCTCAACTCCTCTGGTTTATCTAAGATCCGCCTTTTGGTTTACACTTAACTAAAAACTGACTCACACTACCTGCAGGTACTAGTCCAACTGCTGTCTAACAAAAGAATGTGGTTGTATTGGGCAGCTCACAAGGGTAAACCTATAAAATAATTTCAAGACTTGGCAACATCCAGGCAGTGTCAAATTTGTCATTCAGCACGACCATCCTCTAAATGCAAGAGTATGGCCAGTTTAATCAAATATATTTAAGTTGTTTAAACTAAAAAACATATGCAAGGTCCCTGAACCTGAAGTTAAGTTCAATCAACAGCTTTTTAGTAACATCAGCAAACCTTACATTTAGATTTATTTTCTAGTTACAGTCTGTTTGAAGAATCATTTGGCTCAAAGACTTTGCTTACTGCTTTTGCAGATCCTGTTCGCTACCTTTGCACCAGCGTTAGTGCAAAGCCAATGTTAGGAGGCTGCTGTCAGTACAATAAAAGTGTATTGGCATAGGGACTGAATTAGACTCTAACCTTCAATATTGTTGGCATTGTTTTCATACTCTCAGAGGAAACAATCGTGACTTCTGTTAAAAGACATATAAACAATTTTCCATGATGTATATTTACTTTGTACTTTACTAAACTACACAAATGAAAGCACTGAATGCTGGGACATACGCTAAACTGTTTCTTTAGAAAACTTAATTTGATGAGTTTAGAAAACACTAATTCAAATGATCTTTTCAGGTCACTAGAGTTCAAGTCAGAGGAGCTCAAGTTTTTAATTTCTGAAATGGGACTGAAAATGAAAAGTTGAAATTTTAACTGGAGGCAACTTGAAATAAAAACCAAGTTGAATTTTAAATGTAGCTAAAAATCAAGTATGATGCAAGATGATAGCGAGTCTGATCTGATAGTTACCTAAATGTGAATAAAATTTAGATACATCTTTGCCTCATTGGGGCAACTCTCTGCGAGGTAACCCACCAAAGGCCCACATCTTTAGACATTTACAGATCAGACACTTTGTGCAGTCTCAAATATCCTGCATTCCCAACACACTTGACGACAATTTTATCGATCTGGAGCTTGCCTTCAGTCCATTAAGCGAAGGATCTGCATCTGTCTTCTATGACTGAATATCAGAGTTGATATGTTCCCCAATCTGTTAACCAAACTAAAAGCAGCTTTGGTGCAAGACTTAGACCACTCCCTCTCTGCCAAAAAAATGTAATGACTTTTTCAAGTTAGTGCAAAAATGTACCCTGAAGTTAATCCCAGCTGCCAATTCGTTCATTCATTTCCCTTTCTTCCTCATTTATTTATTTTAATTGTTAAATTTGCTTTTGAATTTACCTAAATAACATATATAACCACCTTTTCATTAATCCAGTTACTGTGTGCAAAAACTGTTTACTGACAGAATAATTTTGTAACAGAAAGAAAGTTATAGTACCTGCAGTTTTTACAAAACTTAAAATACTTTACAAAGCATAAAATAAACTATTGTTTCCTGGAAGTTTTGAATGAGTCAAACTTTAGCCAGGAAGGATGCCTTTCATTGGCCTGTCATGCATTTAGATCTACTCCCTCCCCCCGACAGAGTTGAGTCACCAACCAGCCTCCACTGCTTTTCAAATGCTAATATAGGCCTGCCACATGTAGTGATCCTACTGTGTCTACCAATAAAACTGTTCTCAGGCTGCCTGTCACAATTTATATTTTTTCTTAGTGACACAGATTATTCATAGCATTTGCTTTATCTCTCTGGCACTCTCCTCCCCACCCCCACACTCATCTACATAATTAATCAAACTAATCACTAATCATCAGGTGAGGCTTTTATTAAGAGCATCCACGCCGGATTCTCACGTCAGTCTGACAGTAGCCACGAGTTTGTCATATATGATAGTGGAAAAAAGAAGATTGTTGATTTGTGTTCTTCGAGTATTTAGGAGGAACTATCTAGGAATCGTCTCAATCCTTTCAGTCACAAACTCCTCTTGCCCCCATGCCCCCGTGACTGGAGGTCAGTGTAACTGTGCTTTCCCACTGCAAGACGATGAGCTGAGCCAAGATTGCATTAGAAAACCACTCTGTTGATGCCCCTCCACAAAGCCCTGTTTATTGACCTCTGACGTTCATGACAGTTTCCTAATCCGTTTGCCTTGTCGTTGTAAGCTGCTCTTAGTGTTGTCCATCCTCTCAGAAAGTGACTCTAAGGTTTCTAGCCAATCAGAACTTAGCAGTTTGATTTCCCCCTTCCCGATTAACTGAGCTATATCCAATCAGTGACATTGTTGACTTTGTCTTTCTTCTTACTGTGCTGCCTGTGGTTGTGTTTCGTCTTACTGGGGATTAGGGCGGTGTTCTGGGTATGACTGTGACGTCAGTTTACCACGCTATCCGCTGCAGCCATCGTGTGTTAATTACCATCCTGTTAAATGGGCAGTTGGGATGGATAGATAGAGAGATTAGGGACAGTCTGCAGTGTCTTGACATTTTGACTGACTACTGCTTACCTGCTGCTGAAGTGTGGCTTGCAGGACAGAGGATAGCCGTAGTGAGCTTCCGCCCTCTGCTGTGCACAGGAACAGGTGGAGGGAATTGTGTTTGGGGCCAGAGCTCAAGATCTGGCCAATGAGTGCGTCTATTGCTGCTCTGTGGGTTGAACTTAATACACTTTTAGGTGGCACTGTGCTCACACTTCTTTATACCTATTTGAGTTAAACAGGTTTATACATTTATAAAATCTGTAGTTTCAATACTTGAAAAATGAACTGATAATAATGAACGTCAACAAAATTAATGCAGAGGGGCAAATATACTGTGAGATGAAATCCTTAATATGTCTTTAAATTGTCAATTAATAATTGGTATAATAATCTAATTTATGTTGTCTAAATAGAGCTTAAACAAATTGTAGATTAATTGATTTGTCAATTGACTCGCCTGCCATTCACCGGTCTTGTGCCAAGTTTTACATGCGTCCCGTGCGGCCGACAACGGAACGCACGTCGCGGTTTCTCGCAGGTCTGTTTCAAGTAGGCTTCTGTTTAAAAACGATATAATAATCTTTGTGTGGTTCATCAGTGGTGATAAGTGTTCCTCTACTGCCACTACACACATACACAAACATATTACGCCCACACACGCGCACTGCCACCCCCTTCCTTAAGGGTCAAGGTTACAATTTTGGATTTATTCACGCACTTTAAAAACATTTATTAAAAGCTTCTTTCTTTTCACATGTTTATTTACAGCACTATATGTTGAAATGTACATTATAATAGGCTGTATATTTACTTATTGGGAGAAAACTGGTAGGTCTAAATAAAATCAGACGTTGAGCTTCCCCAGATGGCCAAAATGGTGTGATCTTCGAGCTTCGACTGTGAGACTGACCGTATCGAATCTTCGACTATTTGGGGTCAGCCCTAATTGACATTCTTTACATTAAATAATGCCTAAATGAGCTGAATGGTATCTCTTCATTTAGTGCATACATTTCCAAAGATAACATTTGTAAGTGGCAGACAAAAAATAAAACATTTAAAATTAACTTCAGTCCCTGGACTGCATTTGTTCTACTTGTACAAGAGTGTGTGTGTGTGTGTGTGTGTGTGTGTGTGTGTGTGTGTGTACTGTAATCTCAGTTCATTCAATCATCTTGTATTACCCAATCCCTTATCTTATCCCTGCCATTGCCCTGATATGTTGCCAGTTCTGTGTCAAGTTATGTTCTCCGTTTACATTTTTGTTATACTAATGTCTATTTCTTTTGTTTTCTGTCTCTTGTCTCCTCTTCTTTTTTTTTTTTTTTTATTCCTTTTTTTTGTTGTTGTTGTTGTTGTCGTCCTGTGTGGCTGCGGCTTCTCCCACTGATGCTGCTGTTGCTGATGCTGCCACTATCGCCCATCCTGCTGCACGCAAACCTACCACTACCAACATCTGGCCAACAACACATGGTGGATGCTCCTCCTTCTCCCCCTTTAATCTTTATCCAAAATCTCGGGACACACTTCTTCTTCAATCCCTCTCCCTCTCCGTTCCTGTTTCTCTCTATGTTCCCTGCTATCACTTGTACTTTTCTTTTTCTATCTCCACCCTATTCCTCTGATAGCACCATGCAGAGTTGAGAGAACACCATGCAACCTCCGGTAAGCCAGTGACCTTTCAGAGGAAGGGGCTATGGGCAGTGAACACTGTCAGGGGAAGGGCCAGGGCTGGTATTTAGGGGAATGGGAAAGTGTGTGTGTTTTTAAGTAGGGCAAAAATCTAATAGTAAGTCACCCAATTTCCTCTGACAAATGTTCTTTTAAATATGTTTATTTTTCAATGCCAGTGTGTACTTTAACTGTCCTGAGGCTCCTAATAGCTATTTCACTTGCTTTATTCCACAAAGGTCCACCCTCATTAATAAACCATTAACTGCAGTTGGTCATGGAGCAAAATTTACATAAAGTCTCTTTGACATTAATTTAGCTTGGAGCTTTCTTTATACTTGCAGGTTTTCCATGTTGTATAGGCTGTGTTTCTGTAGCACTGATGCCCCCTTAAAAATGCCTTGTTTTAAATGTGTCTTTACCACCTGATTTGTCACTTGCTGTTGTTCAAACCTTCAAGCTTCTCTACTGTGACAGGTGTGAGTTAGCGGTGTATTGCGGAAAAGTGAGCGTGTGTGTGTGTTCTGGATATGTGGTTCTTTTCATGCCCACAAGAGCGCACATACATGTACACAGCTGCGTTTACAGTAACCATCCACAACAACTCAACTGCTGAACACACCCTGCTGTCTGATAGCACAGACAGACGCTGACATCACTGGATTATCATCTGGATTATGTAGTATATTTGTTATCACATGTGTTTGTATGTGTGTGTGTGTGTGTGTGTGTGTGTGTGTGTGGACACAGTCTGGAGGGTTTAGAAGATTACTAACGGGCAAAATTAAAAAGACGAGCACATCCCCTGCTGAATGTTTAATTGAACTCACAAATACAATGACTTTCCAGGAAGAATTTCTCCCATCTATGAAAATCCATTCAGCCACTTTGATGAGTCCTTTGTGTACAAAAATAGTTTTGCTTGATTGTTTTAGCCCAGTCAATCAGCTAAGACTCTCTCTTAGATAGAAATACAGCAGGTAATCTACGGCGCTAGTTAGCAAACATGGGTACATGTACCACAGGAGGTCCTGCAGTTGCCAGGCGGTATGCCGAGTAGCGCAGCTAATTAGATTCTAATTAATTAATTCCTAATTTTCTTAACTTAATAAACTCAAGAAGTCCTATGGCAAAAATAGAGTTTTATAAGGAGCTACCATACAACAAAATCAGGGAGTGTTTTGTTCAACAAAAGATAATCCTTGTGTTTTAATTCATACATTTATTTTGGTCCATTGTCAATAAAACTGCGCTCCCATTTCCTAGGAATAAAATGCCTGCTTGCTTCATTAGCACCATGTAAACAAGGTGGAGTGATAAGAGACACACATGAAGGCTATCACCACTTTTTCCAATCATAAGACATGGATGAAAACAAATGTTATGTAAGTTATCAGAAAATGGGTTATGAAACAGAAGGCTGTACCTAGCAGATGCTCCACAAGGGGGCTGTCTGTACATGTTCTCTGATCTGAAGTAAAGTGGCAGCATGTCTGATCTTTCGCTCATGTCCTTCCTTTTTATCTCTCACCTCCCTTCCTTGTCATTTCCCTGGCTCGTTTTCTCTGTAGCTGCCGTAGTGTGCAGTGATGACACCGTCCTTCTGACCCCAGGCAGGATGAGCCAGCGCCAGGTGAAGGAGCGGGACAAGGAGAGGGAGAGGGAGAAGGAGGCAGGCCTCCAAACGCCCAACAGGGAACACATTGCCACTCCCTCCACCCTCAGCCCGGGGATCAGCTACACCCATGGTAAGATACACACTTCCTTTGGTACAAGGTGGTTTATTCGTCATTATACACAACACAAAGGTTGTATAACAAACTGAAATGTGTTGTCCCTTCATGCCACACACACATAACTTAATAGATAATTAAATGTGTATTAAAATATGGTAACATTTAAATAAAATAAAACAATTGTATATACATACTTGGGGCAGGTCGGTGTAAAGATGTGGGCACAACAGTCTCTGATTTCCGTTGCTTGGTCATCGTGAGTCCCATTTTGTCCAGACCGGACTTTTAGCATCAGCCTGGAGTGAAAGCAGGGCCAGCATGGCCCACTTTCCCCACCTCTGTGCGATAACCGCACCCGCCGTGGTGCCTGGTTGTGCTAATCGGGCCGTAAATACCAGCTTCCTTTTCCAATGACTATTTCTGTCAGAGGTGTGTGTTACGGCAATGAAGCCTGAAAAAACTGAAACAGTGTAGTGAAGTTTGAAGGAGCTACCAGCTGCTGCTTCTACAAGCGCTGCCGGTTGCCATAGAAATGTTGCACTCAATAGTTTACTGCAAGTTTCAGACATTTTGTACATACATCCGATAACTTAGTCCTACATACTTAACACTCTGCTCACTATCACAAAATAATATTAGTAGGTTCTTATTCTGTGTTAAGCCTCTGTTAATTAAATTCAACACTTCCCGCTGAAGTTGACTTCATGACTCTTTTCTTCTTGTACGACTTTTTTACATTTACTGTTGTTTTATAATTGCCACTTGCTGCAACAGTTGCTGGCTTTAAAAGCAATTCAACTCTCTTTTCTGGACATTTCTCACAGGACAGGTTTGCATAGGATTACATTCTCCGATCTCCGGTGATCTGATTTTTGAGTTCCTACACATTTTCTGGTAATTCTAGTTCTATGTGATGAGGCACTAATTGTTCTGATAAAAAAACGTGAATATACATTCATATATAACCATATTTCCCAACCCTGCCTGAATCTCTTAACTCTTAAAATCCTGCTACCTTTTTCTTTCTTTTCTTCGGTTTATGTTATGTTGGTGACATTGGACATTTCTAGCCTCAGGACAGCAGTCTGTGTTTAGCCTTTACCTTTACCAGATGCTGCTGGTGGAGTAACAATGACTCATACTCGCTTGATGAGTGGTTCCCAGCCTGCAAATCTGCTGATGCACAGGCATTTACCGGCAGGATAATCAGATTTCTGTCCTCTCTTTTTGTGCTGCTTTGGTAATTCTGCAATATTGAATTTTGTATATGCAGTAAATCACTTTGTGACAGCCTGAGACCTGTTTGGGGATGCTAACCCTTCATTCAGTATAGGTGCTGTGTGTATAACCTATACAGCAACCATTTTAATGTCCTTTAAAGCGGTTTCTGTTATTTGTATTTTGTAAGTCAATAATGAATTATGTAAAGCACTTTGAATTGCCTTTGTGTATGAAATGTGCTATACAAATAAACTTGCCTTGCCTTACAAGTAAAAATTAGTAAAACAGCCGGTGTATTTGTGGTACATCATAAATACTCAGACTCTTGATGTTGCTCTATAAAAATCTGTTACCCTCAACCTTTGAGCTCTGTAAGTTCAAGAGGTCTGTATGGTTGGACTCATTGTGGTCAAATGATAGTCACGCCACTGGAAATCCCCAGATTACCACACATTAGTTACAAATCAAATCGATGCTGTGTCACTGTTAAGAAATAAGCTCAAGGGTAGATTTGTTCAGGGGTCTTACATCACCCATCATACTCCTTCTGTCCTGTTCTTGTGTTACAGCCCCCTCTTGTGGATTCTCTGCTGTGGTTGGTGAACTTCAGGGTTTTGATGTACATCTTCTCAGTCTGATCTGTTCAAAGACTCATATAGTTAGGTTTTATTTGATGATAGCACGGCAAGAGTGGGGAATTACAGATTCTTTCATACAGCTTCAAAACTCACCAGCTGGGTTTTAACATTTTAACCAAGTAGATTAGATTAACAGTGTTTGGCCTGCTGTTGCCTGGTAGTTTTGATCCGGACAGAGGGAATCTGACCAGTTTCTACCAGTTTCATAGTTTGTAGTAGTTGTAATAGTTTTCATAGATGGATGTGAAGCTGTCTTTGCTGCTGGGTTTGATAAGCCATGGGAATGTTGTAGTTTCGCACTTAACACAAAGTCAAATCTAAAACTGCAAATATGTGACCTAATAATAGAGGCACGTCATTGCAAACATGTGACTCCTCAATACTAGATTGTTGGCTTTTACATTTGTTCGCTCAACGTCTTGAAAACATTTGAGACAACTCCGTGGTTTTTTTTCCACTCCTGTAAGGGCTGTACGTCTGCTTCTACCAGAAGAGGGAGTTAGCATAACATGGAAATAAATTCACATCCCTCTTTTTTGACCTCCACACGAAAAATAACATACATTGTTCTGTTTGTCTCACCATCACAGTGTGTGTTTGTGTGTGTTATTTATGTTTCTGTATATTTATCAAGAATAAGACATGTCATCATGCATGGTATGACGGTGATTGCCTTTGTCCTGCATCTGACCTGAACACTGTTTTGTCCAGTTGAATCAAATTAGTGAAATGAAATGAAAGAAAGTATTTCCAAAGAGTATCCTGAGCGCGTGCACTGTAAGCATGATATAGCAGCAGCAAACCTACAAGCATACGTGGCTATCGCCTGTCCAGCAACACCACCCCCTAACCATAACTGCATCTGTGAAGCAGACTCTCAACTCCCTGCAGCCCAAAATGGGTATCCGTGGCAACTGATTTTGCTTGAACTAGCCCTTGGTGTTGTCAAAGTCAGTCTATGACTTGATGTGTTTTTCTTGACCCGTGTCTGAACATCCAGTAATTGTTTTCTTAGTTTGAAGGCTGAGATGTTTAATGTGCGGTTCAGCTGTGTATTTCACTAAGAAATACAGACTGTAGACTCACATGGTGAAGATAGTTGCAGTGACATATTTATGAAATTTCACAGGGAAGGTGAGAAGATCGATTATAAAGATATATATTATTTCCTAGTTATTTTCCATAGCTTTTTTTTAAATTGATGCTACTCTGTAAACAACAAGCATGATTTCTAGAAGGTGATTCTCATAAGTTCTGTTATAATTACATTTGATTGGAGTGAAGAGCCTCACCTCTGACTGACCTGTTTGCTATATTTAGGCACAAGTAATCACTCAAAAGCCCTAATTTACATGTGGTTTGGTTCGTAATCAAATTCTCCCTCCAAAGAAGGACCTGACATCATTAGTGTGAAATCTTGTTCAGTGAAGGTTTAATGTTTTAGCTCTGAACCTTAATGGATAGGTAAGTCACAGTCGTGGTCTCATTCACTTCCTGTTCTAACTGCAGGCTGAGTTCTCCCCCTGTCACTAATTCTTTAGTTCGCTAAATCATCCTTCGTTTTTGGAGTGTGGACACATGATGTATATTTTAATGCTCAGCTACTCAAGCACGAACTAAAAAAAACAAAATGACAGCTGAAAAGCTTCTTAATTATTTATTTATTTATTTTAAAGCAAATGCACGTTTCTATCAACAAAAGATCAAGTTGTGTCAAGCTAACCAGGCTGGCTAGTGGATCAGTGAGTTAGGCATCAGGTTTCATCTTATTCTTCGAATCCCGTAGGAAGCTGTGATAATTGCTTTCAACTTTAAACACCTGCATGGTGTTTGAACTTAATGATGCAAAACAAACTAAAGATACACTCACCTAAAGGATTATTAGGAACACCTGTTCAATTTCTCATTAATGCAATTATCTAATCAACCAATCACATGGCAGTTGCTTCAATGCATTTAGGGGTGTGGTCCTGGTCAAGACAATCTCCTGAACTCCAAACTGAATGTCAGAATGGGAAAGAAAGGTGATTTAAGCTATTTTGAGCGTGGCATTGTTGTTGGTGCCAGACGGGCCGGTCTGAGTATTTCACAATCTGCTCAGTTACTGGAATTTTCACGCACAACCATTTCTAGGGTTTACAAAGAATGGTGTGAAAAGGGAAAAACATCCAGTATGCGGCAGTCCTGTGGGCGAAAATGCCTTGTTGATGAGGTCAGAGGAGAATGGGCCGACTGATTCAAGCTGATAGAAGAGCAACTTTGACTGAAATAACCACTCGTTACAACCGAGGTATGCAGCAAAGCATTTGTGAAGCCACAACACGCACAACCTTGAGGCAGATGGGCTACAACGGCAGAAGACCCCACCGGGTACCACTCATCTCCACTACAAATAAAAAAAAAAGAGGCTACAATTTGCAAGAGCTCACCAAAATTGGACAGTTGAAGACTGGAAAAATGTTGCCTGGTCTGATGAGTCTCGATTTCTGTTGAGACATTCAGATGGTAGAGTCAGAATTTGGCGTAAACAGAATGAGAACATGGATCCATCATGCCTTGTTACCACTGTGCAGGCTGCTGGTGGTGGTGTAATGGTGTGGGGGATGTTTTCTTGGCACACTTTAGGCCCCTTAGTGCCAATTGGGCATCGTTTAAATGCCACGGCCTACCTGAGCATTGTTTCTGACCATGTCCATCCCTTTATGGCCACCATGTACCCATCCTCTGATGGCTACTTCCAGCAGGATAATGCATCATGTCACAAAGCTCCAATCATTTCAAATTGGTTTTTTGAACATGACAATGAGTTCACTGTACTAAAATGGCCCCCACAGTCACCAGATCTCAACCCAATAGAGCATCTTTGGGATGTGGTGGAACGGGAGCTTCGTGCCCTGGATGTGCATCCCACAAATCTCCATCAACTTCAAGATGCTATCCATCAATATGGGCCAACATTTCTAAAGAATGCTTTCAGCACCTTGTTGAATCAATGCCACGTAGAATTAAGGCAGTTCTGAAGGCCAAAGGGGGTCAAACACAGTATTAGTATGGTGTTCGTAATAATCCTTTAGGTGGGTGTATTTCCTAACTAAAAATACCAAAATGACATTGAAAGGTTGAAAGCCGCTCTTACGTGATAGCTCAGTTCAT